TTTTATTTTTTAATATTTAAATAATAAAATAAAAAAAAATTTCATTAAAAAAAAAAAAACCTAACAAAAAAAAAAAAAAAAAAAAAAAAAAAAAAAAAAAAAAATGATACTGCAACCTTGTATGAACATCTGTTAAAGTTACAACAAGAGAATTTAGACTAGTATTTCAAGATCGATTTTGAGGGCATTGACAACAGGCTTTCTAAGATTTTTTGGATGTCACCTGAACAGAAAAGTCTGTAGACTCGATTCTATAATGTTGTTATCAATGATAACACATGCAAAACAAATAAATATATGATGCTTCTAAGCATTTTTATTGTAATTAACTCAGATCAATGAAGTCATATTGCTGCTACAGCTGTAGTTTGTGATGAGACTGTATTAACTTATGAATGGATTTTGGAACAAACAAAACTAGCTACTGGGAATCTTCAGCCAAAAACAATTTTTACTGATGCAGATCCAGCGATGCAAGTAGCTATATCTAATCAATATCCTGAAACTATAGTTCAGCATTGTGCATTTCATATTCAGCAAAATTTAGTAAAAAAGGTCAAAAAAAGGTAATATTTTTTAACATCATAATATTTAGTTTCAAACTTATTATTTTAACTATAAACCATTTAATTTTTTTTTTTTTGATTTAAATATATTTACTAAGGCTTCAAAATAAATGAGACGGATTTATTTCTGATTTTTATGCATTGTGAAATTCACTAGTAATTTCTGATTTCGATCATCACTGGATGGAACTGATGAACAAATATTCAGAAGTTCAAGGATATTGTGATAGAGTGTTGTATTTGACTAAAGAATGTTGGGCTCATGCATTTACAAAACAGTGCTTTTCAGCAAATACGTATTCAACTCAATGTGTTGAAAGCATAAACTGGGTTATTAAATTAGAGGCAAACTCTGGAAATTCTCTATGCCAGCTTCAAATTAGGATCGAATTACAGCTTAAGGATGAAGCAAAATATGCAAGTTTTCAGGAATTTAGAAATATGAATCCAACAACTAGTCTTCCTCATATTTCTGGTATGATCTTCAAAAGAGGAGATCCTACTGCTCTTAGCAAACCTTTTTAATGACATACTAGACTCAGGAAACATGCCAAATTTATGGAGTAAAAGCATTATTACCTTAATATTTAAAAAGACAGACATTCTTAAAGATATCAATAACTAGAGACCAATTTCTCTAGTGAATAGTGATACAAAAATATTTATGAAAATCTTAGCTAACAGAATCAATTACATCTGTAACAATATTATTGAACCAACACAACAGGCTTTTATTAAAAATAGATCTATAACTGATACAGCTTTAGATATCCTTATAATCATAAGAAATCAAACAGATCAGTCTAAACAGCACTAGCTCCTTCTACTTGATCAGCAAAAGACTTTTGATAGGGTCAATTACTCATATCTTCAGCTAGTTCTCAAAAAAATGAACTTTGACTCAAAGTTTATTCAAATAGTTAGCTCTCTCTTTGCA